ACACATATTAGCATATGGGCATAGTGATGCATTTTTCGCTGGCTATGTGGAAAGAAAATGAAATATCTTATTTATTATTGAAAGAAAATTGGAAAAATTACTGTTTTCAAACTTACTCATATTTTTGGCAACTTCGGTAAGAGACTTGATCTTTCACTGATACACTTGAAAGGCAGAGTTATTTTCAGAAATCATGATTAAGCTGAGCATTTTATCTCTGAGTTACTTCTTTTATTACTTGCTTTACATTATTATGGATTATTGTTGGTTATTGGTGTTGGACCCGACCTTTGTTCCAGCTCGCCACTACTTTCAACCTAAGGTTAGGTTTGTTACTTATTGAGTACATGGGGTCGGTTGTACTCATACTACATTTCTGCACCTTGCGTGCAGATATTGGATGTTGATATTGATATGACCGACGGGAACTGAATTTGGAGACGTACCTGTGTTCCGGTCGTAGCTACCTCTTGTTCATGGTAGCCTTAGATTTATTTAAGAAAATATGTTTATGTATATTTCGAACAGATGATGTATTTATTTCATACCAACTTTGTAAATTCTAATCTTAGAAGCTCATGATTTGTACTACCAGTCCTTAAGGAGTTTATTAGAGTGAGTTAAATATTATTAGAATCGGATATTTATAAATTGGCTTACCTAACGGGTTGGGTTAGGTGTCATCACGGCTAGTTGGATTTTAGGTCGTGATAGAGCAATGCCAAAAATATGCCCCAAATGATCCACCAAGCAGGCGAGCAACTCCATTTGGTTACTTCCCCTTGGCCTTTCATCAAGTGAGGGATGGCCATTGTCGGTCCCCTCCCTGCAGGACGAGGTAACGTACGCTTTCTTTTAGTTTTGACTGATTATTTTTCTAAATGGGTAGAAGCAGGAGCATTCGCTCAGATACGCGAGCAGGAAGTGATCACCTTCATACGCGAGCAAGGACTAACTGTATGGGTCAAAATCTGCCTAAGGGCATTCAACACGAGTGATGTTGCCATAAGTAATATGGCCGAGGTCGACTAATAACTAATAGGATCCGTTGCCGAGCAACCGATTATGGCCGAGGTCGAGTATTGGAGGGAGCAGTAACAACAAGTTTAGTAGAGAATATTCTGTTAGATATTCTTTATACTTACTTTTAGGGTTAATTGAGGGTCTGCCCCTATAAATAGAAAGAGATAGATCAAATGAAAGGGGCTCTGATAAGAAATTCCTTGACAAAAAAATAGACTCTCTACATCTTAGACATCAGATCCCAGAAAGGCTCTGAAATCCTTGTATCTATCTGTCATTCATCATAGTCAAAAGAAGAACCATTTCATCACATTCGAGATTAGGTGAATTATTCTCTCTATTTACTTTTGAGCCATTCAATGTAATTGAATCTTGAATATTCCTCTCCCATTATTGTTATTCGAACATTGAATTCATATCTGAAGTTATTATTATTAGCTAGGTTTAACCCCTCATTTAATACATTCAATTAGTTTAGCCAAAGATAATTATTTTTTGGCCAAACGGAGGGGGTGCACGGGGTTAATTATCTTCTCCCTTCCCCCCCCCCCCCCCCCGAAAATTATTGGGTTTGAGATAATTATACATAGCTGTTTATAAAATAAAAAAAATAAAAAAATAGTTCGTTGTACGAAGCTCCCGTGCATTCTAAAACAATCTTCTAGTTTTATTTTGTGAATTTTCCACATATTGAGAAAGGCATTCCAACAACTTTATCTCCACTTTTTGGAAATGAGCAATCTGCATTTGCAATTCTAACCTTTCTTTTCTTAGGTTTTTGTTCTCTTCCATGAGCAGCTGCTTTGTTGTATTCTCTTCTTTTATAGCAAATGTATTCCTTTCAGTTGGCTGTAAGTATGTAGGAAAGGCACTTGGCTCACATTTCTTCCTTGTTATTTCTTTTAACAATTGTCTGCACCCTTTCTTGAACTTGTCATGCTGAAATTCCCACCGTTTTGATGTTACTTTCTTGAATCCCTATTATTCGTTTAAAATTTTCAACATTAATTTAAGGAAATATAAAATAAAGGTGAAATATATTCAGCGCATGAATTCAACAAAATGGAATTGGTCGTATTCAGGGGAACGAAAATTTTCAAGATATATATTAAATGTTGATCAATTCTTTTTACAGTCTTTATAATTGTAGAGCTCCATTGTCAAACTTGAAGTTATTTTCTTCATTATAAATAGTGTACTCTTGTTACTGTCAAATAAATTCTTCCCAAAACCGTAAGGCGACAACGTGTGATTAAATTGCCTTTAGACTATGATGGTTTTTGTTGATCGATCGGTTCTTTCTACCAATTTGACTACCATTTAATTAGTTACGAAAACTTGACACTACACAAGAAATATAGAAAATTTAGACCAACAACATCGTCTAAAAACCGTCAGAAATTCTTTCACCGATAATAAACCGTCAAAAAAAAGTTTTCAGCAGCCATGCTATACTAATGATGTGATTCTTCAATTAAAGATACAGTTGAAAAAGGACTAGTAGATTAAGAGTTTGATTATGATATATTAGACATTGATCCTAATACCAAGCATATTAGACAATACTTCACTACTTGCGTTTACAATATTATTAGGCATCTCATAACAATAAAAAAAATGCGTTTTCCTCAATTTACGAAGCCTGATCACCAACAAAAGATTCTTAATTCCATCTATCTTAACTCTTACGTCTAGTCAAAATAAGAGAAATATTCCCAACTTCTTTTATACAATGGCTAGCAATCTGCCCAACCTTTCAACTCTTCTTTTTCTTTTCTTTAGGTCTTTTAATTTGTGGGGAAAAGGGCTTTTGTGAAATGACTACTTGACTGATCGAGTCACTGAGAGAGGTTGGCTGAAATAACATCTCTCGGACCTTGCTTGTTCCAAGCTAAGATGGGAGTAATTTTACCATAATCTTGCATATTATTATTATTATGTTGTATTTCATCTAATTCTCTGCTAGAAAAATGTTAGGAAATTTTGAATTATTAACACGAAATATATGGCCTATAAAAGTATTATATAGTTTAATATAATAACCATGGTTCTGTATATGTACCAAACCAAGCAGAAGCAGTGCGTTTTTTTATCCACTTAGAAATTTAAAGACATATATACCAATAATTATCTACAACCCTTGGAAGAGAAAGCTCCAAATAACAGACGGTTAAGTGCGTTGAGGGAAAGAACTTGATTTTTCTCACTCGTTCGTACAAATCCAATGAATACAAGACCTTAGAGTTTGTTTCTAATTAATAGACCTCTGCTCAGGAAAAACAAATAGATACAAGACATATGTCTTCTATATACACATGCATTTATATATTTTTTAATCATGGTTAAATTAAATATAGAGACCAAAGTGTAAGGAATTAACTATTTTTCTCAAGAGCAAGTCCTCTAAATCTACATATATACTTAGCAAACAGTAGCTGAATATATATGTTGATAATCATATTTTGCTAAGGATAAATATGTATATGACATGTAATTAAATATGTGCGCACACACCACACAAAATTATAGATGTAGAGACTTACATAGGTGTTGAGTTGTCGTATGAAACTGGAGAAATTGTTGTGCTTGAAGTATATTGGTAACATATGCTCAGAAAACTCATCTGGACACCACACTACAAAACCATTTCCCTCACCATTCCATGAAATAACCTTATTAATATTCTCTTCTTCTTGTTCCTCCAAAATATCATAAGTTTTCAACAAGAACGGCGCCGGGCACTTCGTTCTCAATGACCGTCCGATTTTCCGGCTGATATTCCGATCATCTGCCGTTGCCGGAATAGCATCTGTAGCCATGGCTATATATATTAATGGAGATTTTTGTTTTTTGTTGACTAACCAAAAAGACTTCTAGTGCTTGTTATTCTTACTTATACTAGTGTTGATACATTCTACTGTGGATATTTTTATTGATCTTTTTTTTTTGGTATTGAGACGATATCTTGACTAGAAGATGTGTAGAAGTTTCACGATTATATTCTTGGATATAATAAGCCAAAGATACGTAGAATTTGGACACATTTACTTTGCCTCTTGGAATTTCTTTTAACTAATAAAAGACCATACTCATTCTTCAAACGTGGCATACAATATCATATTATTGTCGTGTGATATGTAATGTTTTGAAGTATTTAAGTTTTATACTCCTATAGTAATAATATATAAAAAATAATTTTTATATATACTAATATAATTTAAGTTAAAATAATGAGTAAGAATGCAGGTGTAATGAGAATGTGTGCACTCACAAGTTATTGAAAAAGGATGGAGATCAGAGGAGAAGAGCCGCGAATGCTGACTCGGCTTCAGAAGTGTCTAGAAAAGTAATTGTCACTTTTCATTAGTATTTAATTTAATTCTTCAATTTTAACTCTCATATGTTGTTCCACGACCATACTCATGAGACATACTTTACCCATTTCATTTTAAGCTAGAATGTTCGGTTGAAAATAAAATTTTAAAATCATTTTTAAAATTTGTTATGTGAAATAAGTTGTAATATTTCTCCGACTAGAGAATTATGATATAATAAGAAAATAAGAAATTTAAAATTAATTTATTTTTATATATAATAATGTGGCATTTACAAATTCAAAAAGGAGATATTACATAAAATGAAATAGAAGGAGTACACATGTTAGGGGCTGTTTTCGGTGTACTTTATAGATCTTCTCCTTAATTTTCTTTTCCTTCTCTTAATATTATGGATTACAATATAAATTTGTCGTATATGGTTCTTTTAGTCTCTTAATATGTTTGGTCGTAAGTATGATTTAATCTCTTCTAAGACAATCAATTAATTTCCCAGATAAAACTGCATAAGGATATTGAATCAATTGCGTTGAAGTTCAAAAATTGAATGCCACAAGTGGACCAAATTGTATACGGTCGAAATATATTTCGGTTTTCGTACGATTGATCAAGTTCGAAACATAATCGATCGAAGTAAGACTTCGAGATGGATTCCGAAGATGGTACAAACAAGCTTCGAGTCCGAGGGGCCGATCAATATCAAGCTCGATATTATAATCAAGCTCGAATCCAAATCGAGCTATGATGTAAAGTAAAGTTGTCGAGCTTATGATCCAGAGACCGACAATATTGATCCCGAATCAATTCAAGGGTCCGAGTCAGAATCGAGCTCAAGCCAAGATCGAGAGCTCGAGTCAAGACCGAAAACTCGAGTCAATATCGAGCTTATAGACAAGAGCCGTTGCAATCCCACTAGAGGAGAGAATCTTAGCAGGAATTGTGGAAAAGCTGATTTGTCATGGGTCTCCCACTACGTATTTTTAATTATATCTAAAGTAAGATCCCTCTACTATAATGGGGATAGTTATCATTTCTGTAGAGGGCAAATTTTTTGCTTACATTGTAATTCAAGCATCATATTCTCTTATAGTGAAGAGTTGTTCTTTCAAACTTTTTAAATTGATTCCACTTGTTTAGTCCTAAAATTCACCTTTCTTTGCAACCTTATCCATTTTGCATTCTTTGTAATCTATACTTGATATTTTCATTTATCCTTATAATTTGTATTAAGTTGCACCACATATCCTTAGAACCACGTACAAATTTAATTCTATCCGTTTTTCGGGTAAACACAAATATTTTTTCATTTAAAAATATATTTGACTATTCTAACGTATGAAAATATTAACATTCTACTCAGTAGTAAAAGATGAGACTGTTTCGTGATAAGAATATAGAAAATAACATGTGTGAAGCTAATATACTTTAAAAATATATTTGAACTATCAAAATATATAAATTTATTTTAGACATTATACTTAGTAGTAAAAATTGAAATTATTATATGAATAATTTTAAATAGGGATTTTAAGATTGAAACTACTTGGGTAAGAGATCTATGACTGCAACTATGGCCCCAAGTTGAACAAAACCTTGTTAGATCGAGAAATTTCAAACTGTCAAATTGAGCTAAATTGAGAAAGCTAATTGATCATTTCTACACATCCAATCATGTATTCCAATATTGATTCAATTGTCAACCAAATACAGTAGAGATATAGAGAAGAGGTAGAAGAAGACGAGAGAGAGAGCTAGAGATCAGAATATTCTAGAATCTCATTTTTGTAACTAACTAACTGATTTGTCATTCTAACATACTCTTATACACCGACCTTCTCCTCTCTTTTGTCTATTTGCATATTGTCCCCTTTCACTTACTATTGTCTCTTATTTAGTCCCTATTATTGTAATACTCCCCCTCAAGTTGGTAAGTGGAAGGCATCTTCTACTCCTAGCTTGTATAATAGGGACTGATGTTGTGTTGCACTCAAGCCCTTTGTCATCAGGCCTGCTAGTTGCATTTTTGTAGGTATGTACTAAGTTGCGATTAGTCCATTCTTGAGCTTCTCCCTGACGAAGTGACAATCTATTTCAATATGTTTAGTCCGCTCGTGAAATATAGGATTTGCAGTTATTTGCATAGCTGTCTTGCTATCACAATGTAAGTTGACTGGTACTTCCATTTTGTTTCTCAATTCCTCCAATAGTCCAACCATCCAAGCGACTTCTGCATCACGACTGTCATACTTCTATACTCTGCTTCTGCCGAGCTTCTACTAATTGTCTGTTATTTCTTGGACTTCCATGACAACAGAGAATCCCCAAGTTTCACAACATACCCCGTCACAGATCTTCTTGTGTTGGGACAAGCTGCCCAGTCTGAGTCACATAAGGCTGTGAGTGTTGATGCATGTCCTCTTCTCAGTAGTATCCCTAATCCAGGTGTTGATTTGATGTATTTTACAACCCTCACGGATGCATCTAGGTGAGACTTCTTGGGTTACTGCATGAATTGGCTCAACACCTGTACCGCAAACAGATGCTTGGTCTTGTGATTGTGAGGTAAATTAGCTTCCAATAAGTCTTTGATAGGCTCCTACATCTTCAAGTTGAGGATCATCTGCTCTTCCAACATGACTGTCATAATCAACTGTTGTTAGTTTCTGATTCAATTCAATTGGAGTTGCTACTGATTTGCAACCACTCATGCCTGTATCAGTGATTAACTCCAATGCATATTTTCTCTGATTCAGCAACACTCTTCTCTTTGATCTCGCAACTTCAATTCCCATAAAATATCTTAGTTCCCCTAGGTCTTTCACCTTAAATGAATTATGTAGAATGTCCTTTGTTTGGTCAATGGGGGACTGCTTACTTCCAGTTATTAAAAAATCATCAACATAAATCAAGACTATCACAATGTCTTCTTCATGCCTCTTGGTAAACAAGGAATGATCATGGGCACTCTGAGTGTATCCAGCTTGTAGAAGTGCATTTGTGAGTTTGATATTCCATTTCCTTAATGCCTGTTTCAATCCATAAAGGGATTTCAACAGTCTACGCACCTTGCACTCCCCATGTTTGTGAAATTCCTGAGGAAGATCCATGTAAACCTCTTCAAATAAATCACTTGTAGGAAGGCATTGATAACATCCATTTGAAACAAGGGCCAATCTTTGGAGGCTGCAACACTGATCACAGTCCTCACAGTGACCATTTTGGCCACTGGATAGAAAGTTTCATGATAATCTAATCCTTCTTGTTGTGTATAGCCCTTGACAACCAACCTTGCCTTGAACTTATCCACTTCTCCATTGGCCTTATGCTTAATTTTGTAGACCCATTTTGAACCAGGTTGCTTCCCAACAGGGGGGTCTACTATCTCCCATGTATTATTTTCCTCCATAGTTTGAATCTCTTGTTCCATTGCAGTAACCCAATTCTGATCCTTAACAATATCCTTGAAGAATTTTGGTTCAGTCTGGGCTGAGAATACTCCCAGGTAGGAATGATATGTTGGTGACAGATGATGATAGGCAATGTGGGAAGATAAGGGATATCTTCTTCTACATGATGGTCTGGTATGGATTATATAATCTTTGTGCCAAGCATGAGGAGCTGAATTCCTTTGAGGTCTAGCAGATCCTGCAGGTTGAGTTAGTCGTGTCTCTGTGGAAGCAGAAGGTGCAGTTAGTTGAATCTATGGTTCAGCTGGGGCAGTTGTAGGTAGGACTGCAGGAATTGTTGGCTCAAACACTTCACTAACAGCTTCTGTCTCCCCTTCAAATTGATGAACTTCTGGTTCAACATCACAAAGAGAGGGGCTCGGAGCAATGAACCTATCCTCAGAATTGTTGTCATGATCATATTGATCCTGTACTGGTGCATAAGGTATAAGGCTGCTGTTAGCAGGTCCTTATTGTTATGTTGGTGAATGATGGATAGATGAAGTGTCTGGTGATAGTAGTTGAGTGTGAATTGGACATTGAGTTAACATATCATCTTCAATGTTGCCTATGTCTTTGAATGGGAAGATGTGTTCTTGGAAGGTAATATCTCTACTTACAAGAAAACTTCTATTATCCAAGTCATATAACTTGTACCATTTCTGAGTGTCAGAGTAACCAAGAAACACTGTCTTCTTGGCTCTAGGAGCAAATGTGTCCCTTATTGGCAAGTTTCTTGCATAACCCAAATATCCAAAGACTCTGAGATGCTCAATACTGGGTTGCTTCTTATACAATAGCTCATATGGAGCTTTTCCTTGCAATACTGGTGTAGGCAGTCTATTTATTAAATAAACTGCAGTTCTTACACACTCTCCCCAAAATTTGATAGGGACATCACTCTGAAATTTTAAGGCTCTTGCCATTTCCAAAATGTGCCTGTGTTTTCTTTCCACTATGCCATTTTATTGTGGAGTGTAAGCACAACTACTTTGATGTATAATACCAAGTGAAGCTAGTAGTTTATTGCACTTAGAATTGAAAACTTCTGAGCCATTATCAGATCTTAAAAACTTCACAGTAGCAGCAAATTGATTCTTTATTATATAAAGAAAGTTCTGCAACACAACTATCACTTCACATTTGGAATGTATCAGACAAACCCAAGTGTACCTACTAAAATCATTCACAATAGTGACAAAGCACTGCTTCTTATTATATGTGGGCACCTTATAGGGGCCCCATGCATCCAGATGAATTAACTGGAAAATAGATGTTGATCTAGTAGTACTTATAGGAAATTATAATCTACATTATTTTGCCAAAGGACATATATCACAGTCACTAACTTCACTACTGCTAACTTTATTCTTTATACTTGGAATGTGCTGAACAGTCCTCATAGCTGCATGTCCAAATATCAGATGCCAAAGAGTAGATTATGTTCCCTTTCTCTGAACCACACCAGCTAATATTGCTGCACGTTTATTCAGCAAATACAAACCTTTTGATTCTCTACCAATCCCCAGTACCTTTCCACTGAAGAGTTCCTGAAACAGACATAAATCAGGGTAGAAGCTGACCCAACATTTGAGATCCCTAGTAAGCTTTGACACTGACAGTAGATTGAACTTAAAATCAGGTACATGTAACACATTCTTTACCCACTGATTTGCTAAAATTTTTGCATTTTTAGTATGTGCTATCTTTGCTCTTATTCCAGTTGGTAACTGCACTCCATTATTACTCTGACCTTCCATACTCTTAACATTACTTAGGACCTCTTTATTGTGAGTAATGTGAAGCGTAGCTCCTGAATCTATTATCCAATCTATCATTGAAGCACTGAAAAATAAAGAAAGTATACCTGCCATGTTGGATGAGCATTGTCCAGCTAGTGGTTTGTTTAGCAGTCCCACTAGCTGATTGTATTGGTCCTCTGTCAGTACATGTCCTTGAAATTTATTCACAGTTGATTCCAGCTCTTCAGTGCTTGCTGCATTAGCATAAGTCTTTGGTCCTCCACTCTGAAACTTCTTTTTGCTTTTGAAATCTGCTGGATAGCCAATGATTTTATAACAATTTTCTTTCAAGTGTTCATTGTAGCCACAGTGCTCACAGACCAACCCAAACCTTTTAGGCTTGAATCCCTGAGTCTTTCCTGCCATCATAGTGAGGGGATCTCTATTTGTGTCAACCACTCCTAGTGATCTCCAACTTTCCTCCTGAGTTACTATCGCATAGGCCTCGTTTACTGAAACAACTGGTCTTCTCATAAGAACATTGTTCCTAACATTGCTATAACTCTCATTCAAACCCATGAGAAATTACAGTAGCCTATTTTTCTATAAAAGCTCAAGTGAAGGTCAAGATTCCTCACAATCACGGGAAGACTTAGGGGCTAGCACATCTAATTCATGCCACAAATCACTCATTCTAGAATAATAGGTTGTTACTGAATCTGTACCTTATTTTAGTGTAGCTATCTCTGTCCACATGTGATAGATTCTCGTTAAAATACATCTATCAAACTTCTCTTTGAAATCACTCCATACTTTCTTTGCATTTGATGCAAAAACAATCCCAAGCATTAATTCATTTGCAACTGTGCTACCAATCCACGAGAGCACAATTGCATTACATTTCTCCCACTGTTCCGCGAGCTCTCCTCTGTACATTCTTTTGACACATGTTCCATCCACAAAATCCTAGCTTACCCTTTCCCCTCAGAGCTAATCTCATCACCCTGCTCCAAAAGGCATAATTTTCTAGCCCTGTGAGCTTTATTGGTACTAAAACTAACCCAGGAGCATCTGAAGCTTGAAGAAATAGTGGATGATTGTGCTCAAGTAGAGTTACCTCATTTCCTGCCATATCTATCAGGTGTGATCTCCGTCAGAACTTGATTATCAAGGAACTTCTCTCCGATTGCCGAAATTTTCGTCGGAACCCTAATTACCAGATCGTGGCTCTGATACCATGTCAAAGTAAGCTAAATTGAGAGAGCTAATTGATCATTTCTACACATGCAATCATGTATTCCAGCATTGATTCAATTGTCAACTAAATACAGTAGAGATACAGAGAAGAGGTAGAAGAAGACAAGAAAGAGGGCTAGAGATCAGAATATTCTAGAATCTCCTCTGTACATTCTAACATACTCTTATACGCCGACCTTTTCATCTCTTTTGTCTATTTGCATATTGCCCCCTTTCACTTATTACTATCTCTTATTTAGTCCATGTTGTTGTAATACAAACTCCAGTTCCTGGTTTGAGTTCGAATAGCTGCAAATCTGTTAAAAAATTGAAAATCAAGTGATTCACGTTGGTTTGCTGTTGTTTACAAGTCCTTTCTGTATTTACCTATTGATTCGGACTGTAAAAACTTGAAGAAGAGCTTTTTGCCAGTACTAAAATTTCAAAGCTTCGAATTCAAAAATTGAATTTTTAAAACTGGATTCGGTTTTTATTGGGTACAAGGAAAATAATTGAAAAAAACTCTAAGGAGCTTATATCTAAATTTTTGGGCAATTGGGTAAAACATTTGGGTGAGTTTAATTATATTTTCAGTCCTGGGTCGAAGAAGGAAGAAGAAGGTTCTGCAAATTTATACAAAATATAGCTTTTTCTTTTTCAAGAAATTCAATTTCAGATGACAGCAATTCCTCGGCCCAGTGTATGTTGTAAATTTTTATGTGCGCCCAGTTTTGTGCCACCCATTAAATTTATACCCACTTTAAAAAAAAAATTTAATTGATACTCAATTTTGGATAATTTCATACACATATAATTTTCTCTTCTTCTTTAATATTGTTTTCTTCTTCTTTATGCTTAGAGTTTCTTCTTCTTTTTTTTTAGTTGCAAGATAAATTTTTTAAATTTGTTATTATTTTGATATACTGATGAATTGAGATTTATTCTTTATGATATTTGAATGTTATATTTCAAATTTGAGCTTATTCAGAGAAAATTTAGGCATTGAGTCGTGTATTGGATTATTGAAAATCGAAGAACAAGTTTATGTTTCAGAACTTAAGATTCGAAATCTTGCATTCAATAGATTGAACTATCTAAGATTCGAATTTTTAAAATTGCATTTAAAGATAAAAGAATTTCGGATTTGATTTCTGAAGTTGCAATGAAGAGATTGAACTACTTCAGATTTGAATTTCTAAAGTTGCATTTGAAAGGTAGAAGTGCTTCAGATTTGATTTCTGAAGTTGCATTGAAGATATTGAACTACTTCAGATCCGAGCGGGTATACTTTATAAAATTTTGTGTATTACGGATATAACTTCAATGGTGACCCCAAAAGTGGTATATATGAAAATGCTCCATGTATGTTGGGCTCCTAATAACTTGGGCTACAATCCATCTTCTTCTGACACGGGCTAAACTTCGATGGACCGGGTCACCCATAGCTGCTTAAACCCGCCTAAATCTCCCAAATCATTTCTGCTTCATCTTCAGCAAAATCAACAGAAACCCTAATGAAGCTTTCCCGTTCTACGTTAAGGAGCCAAAATTCAATATCTTATTGCAGAGCCACAATTAACCGTTTTTATGGCACAACAACGTCGACTAAACAAAATAACGAGGAGAGGAGTGAGTGGGTCTACGCAAGAATTGCACCATTAGGTAGCCCAGAGGTTTCAATGGTTCCAGTATTGGAACAATGGGTTAAAGAAGGTAATCAAGTGTTGAGAAGTGAGCTTCAGTGGATTATCAAAAGGCTAAGGAGCTACAAAAGATACAAACATGCCCTTGAGGTACAAATCTTGCTGTTTGTTGTTGTTTTAGTGAGTTTAAGATTATGCATTGTGAAATAAACTGTCTGGAGACCAGGGTTCAAAACCCGGTAGAGAAAAAAAAAACACTTTGCCTAAGGTTTTTTGGTGGGTAAAGTTGTGCTGGTAGAATGTAGCATGTTCTTACGGGAAGTCGAGGTGTGACAGGCTGTTTTGGACACCAACTTTCATTGAAAAAATTGTTTGTGTTTTTTCGCTAAGCAAATGATGCACACACACATACATAAAACTGGCAGACACCAAACCTAGTGTAAGTGTACCAACACGACCAAGCCTTAATACCAATTAGTTGTTAGCATATATGGATCTAATATAAAATTATAGTTAGGTATTGCTGGAGAAATTTTTATTTGTTCAAGAAAACTAAGTTGAGGATGAGCTTGATAAAGTTTTTGATGAGAGCGTTTTTTGTTCCTAAGTTGCTGCAGAGAATCTATTAGACGGCAGAGGCGGATGTGGCCTTCTGGCTATGGTTCATCTGAACCCATATTCGACCCGGAGTGCAAATATATATGTAAAAACCTGCCAAAATCTTAAGATTTAATAGATCCGAATCCATAACTCTTAACGGTACAATGAGTTTAGTTCAGTGCTAAGAATCTTAAAGATTGAGCCTATTAAGTGTAAATCATGTATCCACCTCTGTTAGGCGGCTTCGTCGTGTTGACAAGTGCATGTTTGAAGTCACCGATGGGCTTAGGCATACCACTCAAAAGGCCTTGAGCATTTAAAGAGTAGAGCTTTTGATATACAAAAAGAAAGAGCTACTGAGCGCTTGATCTTTTGCCCTAATCTAGTTATCGATAGTTCCCAACCTCCATGTGCCCATTGGTCATTCTGTTAATTTAAGCAAAGGTAACAGCTAGAGATCATAGAAATGAATAAAACAGCATTCACCCTTGCAAGATACAGCATAGAGCCAAAATTTGTCGGTGATGAAAGATCTGAGCTACTTATGTATCTTCATTCTTGAACTTATAAATCTTGCCATTATCTTTATAGTTTTGTGACAGGTATCTCATTGGATGACAGACAGAAGATATTTCTCCGTCCAACCTGCTGATGTTGCTACACGAATTGATTTGATGTATAAAGTTAAAGGCCTCGAAGAGGTTGAAAAATACTTCAATAGCACTCCGCAGAAATTGAAACGCCTGACAGTGTATACATCTCTCCTCAATTGCTATACCAGCGAGAAGTCTGCAGAGAAAGCTGAGGCCCTAATGCAGAAACTTAGAGATATGGGGTTTGCTAAGGGTACATTGTGCTACAATTTGATGCTGAACCTCTATTCTAAAACAGGAAGATGGGAAAAAATGGACAATCTGATGAATGAAATGGAGCAGAAAGGCATAAATTTTGATGAATTCACGCTCACAATACGGTTAACTGCATATGCTGATGCTGGAGATTCTGATGGAGTGGATAAAATAGTAGCGATGATGGAATCTGATAAGCATCGCATTTTGCGGTGGGGTACTTACAGTATTGCAGCAGATATGTGTTTGAGAGTTGGGCAGGTGGAGAAAGCTTTATCAATGCTGAATAAATTGGAGGGCATGATTGTGAGTGGTGAGAAAAGTAATGGTGCATATAATTTATTGCTAAAACTATATGCGGAAGCTGGAAAGAAAGAAGAGGTGCACCGATTGTGGGATTTGTACAAGCAGAAGGAGAAAATTCTTAACAAAGGTTACATTAGTGTGATGAGCGCACTAGTGAAATTTGGTGATACAGAAGGAGTTGAGAAGATCTTTGAGGAATGGGAATCGGAAGCTTTGTCCTATGACTTCCGAGTTCCAGACGTCTTGATTGGTACTTACTGTAGAAATGGTCTTCTAGAGAAAGCTAAGGCCCTAGTGGACAAAGGAATGTCAAAAGGGGGTGTTCCATGGATCACCACGTGGTGTCACTTGGCAAATGGATACATACATGAAGATCGAGTCCCAGAGGCTGTAGAAGCATTGAAGAAGGCCATCTCATTATGCCCGCCTAATTATAGACCTAGCAGGGAGACCTTAGTTACATGTGTGCAATACTGGGAAAACCAGGGAAATGTGGATAAAGCGGAGGACTTTGTAAGGTCTTTAGAAGCAGAGCATATGTTCTCGGCTGTTTTTCGTGACAAGTTGTTGCGCTTTATTAAGGAAGAAAAACTACAGACCTGAGCGACACAGCTTGCGTGGAAACAACTGATTTGAGAGACTCTCGCAAGGTTAGGCATGGCCAACAATAGCTGTAAGTGTGAACTGAAGCTGTTAGGCCGGCTAGATATGGAACAATTAAAGAGAAATTTATTTATCGGACAGAGATTCCTTTTCTTTGGGGTTCAAACTGAAAATAGTTGATATTTCTCATTGAGATTCACCTGTGGTTGGTCTCAAGTGATCTTAGGCTGCATATTCATTGCTGATTAGTAATATACTGCAAGATTAGTCCTCAAGAGAGATGAGCTGATTTGTTCGTAAGTCGTAACATATATTGCGTCAATGAGCTTGTCTGAAGGCCAAAATTCAACAGAATGTGTATATTCTTTGTTTTGGTAACTATAGCTGGTGGGAGCACCAAAGTTCCTTTCCTGGGCTTGTTTGAGTGTGGTTATGAAGACAGTAAAAGAAGGTACATTACTTCGGTTCTTCGATTTTCGCCATATGATGTTATTGTAGTTTATAAGTATGTGACAATATTGTTTGTTGAAGCTGATAATGTTAGTCCAAGCCCGACGGTGTGCCATCTCCTCCTAAAAATAGAGTAGGGTCATTTCTCCCTAGTTTAGCATATTTAATGAACGTTTTCTCTTGATTGAAGAATATCTGAGACCTACCCTCTTTGATGGTGAAAATGAGAGTTAATCTTCTCTCTTACAATGATTCTTTATGCTGTTACTCTCAAGGGATGCCTTAGCTGTTATATGGCACGATTGCTTTTAAAGATCGTAGTAACTGCAAAGTCTGTAACGGAATTTCAAATTATAGGGGAGTTTCTGGATCTTCCTCAAACTAGAGGGCGATTGATTTAATAGAATACTAGTTCAATTTTCTCACTCCCCAAAGAATGAATTGTTGTAGGTAAAAATCAATAAGTCAATTAACTACGTTACTTCAACTTAGTTTGAGTGAGCTATATGAATCTTTTATAGTCAGTCTGTTATTCCGATCATCTTATTCTATTGTGCTTTGTGCCTTCGGGAAAGGGAAAAAATAAAATAAGAAAAGAAGGGTCAACTTTGAACATGCTCACCACCTTCACGATTTGAATTTTCATCAAATAGACAATACAAAACGATTTAACAATAAATGATATAATTAGAGAGCCGAATAAATAAGTAATTATCTTGAAGAAAAACAAGAACAATTGCTTGTTATTAAAGACCTTACTGTTATCATGTGGCTTTTAAGATTAGAAGAAAGATATTTGACTCAAAGATGGCAAATTCATTGTAACAAGTTAGGATATTCTATGTGGTTGGCAAAACAGTGACATGTCAACCAACCATTTTAGTGATTTGAAAAGTTTGGTGTAAGGAGTTAATAATCACATGATTAAGTGAAAAGTTTATCTACAATATCTTATCTTTAGTGGGACATGCACTAGAATTATGTTGAATGGGACAATTTTAATAAAGAATGCTAAATGATCTTTAAGAGCACGCCAAGATTTTCTCTATTTGCCTCACAGACCACTGGCCAAGTATCTATTTACGTTGTTTTGGAACAATGTTAGGACCCCATTTTGAAAATTCTTGAAATTGTTGGGGACTTGGTAAAACAGAAGAAAATTTTTTTGCTATTTTCTCTCTGTCCACGTTTATAGCTATTCCACCAACCATTTTGTTTAGTTAAGTCTAAATGTTTTGGGACACAGAATCTGCCGTAAAGTGTAAAATTTGCAAATCCAGCGTATTGAACTCGTTTATTCCACTCGCATCCTAATTTTAGAAGCAATTCTTATATTTAGAACTTTTAAAGAGATAATGTGTTGGGATTTTAAGCTTGTGTAGCTTAAAGAGGGTGAATGAGAAATGGAGGGAAAATGAAATATTGGAGTTTCCCTCCTTGGCAAAGGGACATTGTCTCATATTGGAGGAAGAAAAGGCTTTTGATGGGTATATATATAATTGCTCTTCTTCTAACTCTTAAAGAGTTAAAGAAGAAGGCAAGCCTCGCGCCGTTGTCGTCGCTCGCTCGCTCGGCTTCGGACAAAGATTGATTGATTAATCTTTTTGGACAAAATTCCTTTCAATTATTTAATTAATTAATTAAATAATTAACGAAAAATTCAATTCGAAATAATTAAATAATTAAACAATTATTTAATTATTTTAAATCCATTCCCGCAATATTTCAAACAATTCCAACAGCCATGGTTGTTTCTGAAAAGGTTGCAAACCTTTTCAGAAACAATGCCAGCAACTCTATAAATAGAGTTTAATCCCAGAATCTTTCCTTACGAAATTTTCTTAGCTTCTTCTTCTACACAAAAAATCCAGTGTGTTTTACAGCCTTCGAGTGGCTCGCTGTTCACCGGCGTTTTGGTACCAACACTCCGGTGAGTTAAATCGTTCTATCCTGGGAGGATATATTCCAACACCTCGGGCACTTGAGGGGAATAATTTTCTTAAGGATACACTGAGCTTGATTTATTCCTATGCTGTTTTTTTATGAATTTATTTCGTTAAAAAAGTATTACTAACTTTCTGTTTTGTTTATATATATTTCAGAAAACTATAACAATATGAACAATAAGGTGGACAAGCAACATGATAAAACATTCATTGATTTAACTTATTATAAGCTTATAGTCTAAAACTTCTTTACACTGTCACTATATCTTAACATGTTATAATAGGCTACTTGCTTTATTTTTATGCAATCTCATTAATATGGACAACTATGGCCGGTTATCTTTTAGGTGATGTTATCGATGGATAAAAGTTGAACACTATACAACATAAACTAGCCCTTTAATGAGCTCTTTTGGCAAATTCCACTTGGTGGACAAATCTATCTCTTGAGCAAAAGAAAATTCATGCCCTATGCACAGTAGGAAAGTGGAAAATGAAGAAAGGGGAAATAATAGGACAATATGCCTTCAATGTACAAAGTTTGAACTCACTATACTTAAGTCAAAATTTTGCTTATTATCATCTCACACATGTGATTTTTAATGACTTGATGCTCATCAACATTAGTGTTGTACAAGATGAAGAGGGGGGGACAAAAGAGAGTGCCTCAATGAAACTAGAATAACAATAGGCAAAGAAGAAAACAGCAGAAGAGGAAAAGGGAAATTCTATTGAGAGACTTGTCAGCCTGCATTTCCTGTCTTCTCAATCTTGAGCTGCTGCTATTTCCAACTAGATGATATGAGTTAGGATATGTATATAAACTCTCTGAGTTCCCAAACATCCTAGCATAGACCATCTCTCCAAACATTCCAACAACTGGATGAAAGACTCCCACTGATGTATCGTTTCCAAGGTTGAACGAAGAAGGCGATGATGGACGGTTGAGGTAACTTGTATACGGATTATAAGCATTAGGATGTGGTAGTTGCTGAGAAGGATTAAAGGAATTCGACAAGGATAATGGACCAACAGCAGCTGGCCTGGGAGGTACTTTTAAAGAGGGCTTGTTTTCGGGCTCAGATTCAGGCAGTGTCTCCCCACGCCCGTAAAGAGGGACTAAATCTTTTCGGGAAATTTCAGCCTTGCAAACTGGGCATTGAGGGCGTTCATCCGAAGACAGCGAGTCACTCTGGAAGTGAAACCACTTATAAATGCAGGGCCAACAATAGAGATGGCCACAAAGTGTAACAACCGGATCACGTGCAAAGTCCAAGCATATGTTGCAATCAAAACAGGCAGAAGTATTCTCTGAGTCTGATGCTGGAGCAGGGATTGATTTCCACTCGTTCGCATAATACTGCTCGAAAGCCATGGGATTTGTTTCCTGATAAGTTGTTCAACCTAAGGATTCTTAAAAATCTGAAAGAACAATTAATAGTTAGCACATGGGAAAAACACAAAGAAGAAAAGAGAAAATATAGATTTACAGCACCAGCAACTAGCCAATGTGGTAGGACTTCAAAAATTCTAATTATTCAATGTCAATCATATTGTCTCTACTTGACTTATCCTAGTAAGGAACATGTATTACACTGAACATTAGCAATGAGAATCATAACAGTGGACATTTATCAATCTTATGGATGTCCCCAAAGAATTACAAGAAATTAAAATTTATTTGGCTATATGAAGGAAAAACACATGTTAACATGTGACTTAGGTGCTACTAAGATTGTCTAATCTAAATATAAAATTGTAGAGCATTAGTAGCCAATAAGTAATTAAAACAACTACTAATTGGCTCAGTTTAACAAAATATCTCAATCTTGAATCTCTCCTTTTGCACAGTAAAATTTGCATTCCAACATTAGCAGATTACGACATTAATTCCAAAGTATAATTGAGGAAACCCTCTTCTATATCATACACATAATGTCAAGAAGATCTCAAAATTATTTGCTTAATTATGGTAGGTAAAGGTAAAGACTTAAGCACCAACAAAGATCAATTTGCAGTACAACTTAGCATGATATGATCAGACACAAGAAAAAATTCATCTAAGAAAAACCCTCAAAGATCTAACCTTTACACACCATTAATCACTACAATTTCAACCAAAATATAAAAGAAGGGAAAATAAGTTCAATTGTCGAGATAAATGAAGGAAGATAAAGAGATTGTGTTCTTACCAATTAATCAGAAGTTCAGACTTTCAAGCTTCAATGGAGAATACCAGATAAAGAAACAGAAGAAAAAAGAGAAGAAAATAGGTTTCGAGGTGAACAGGGAGGAAGTGGTTGAGCTGAGAGAGAGGAAATGGTGGAGCAGTTTTATAACAAGAAATTTGGAACGAGGACTTTCTCCTTTCTAACCTATGCTGACGTGGCTGATTTTGTATGGTCTCTCTCTCCCTCTCCCTCTCTCTCTCTCTCTCTAATACTATTTGTTTCTTCATTTAATTAATTGAATCTTCAATTTGCTGCCTAATTATTTGTTTTTTCTCTTTTCATTGCATTTGCTACCTAATTACTTGATACATCAAGCCAATCTAGCTCCTTTTTTTTTCTTCCTAAAAAAAGATTTTGTATTATTACAAAGGGAAGAATAAATGAAAGAGAAAAGGTGAACCGTGAGAATTGAATTATAGCTTAAAATTTTCAACAGTACTGGTGAGTTATAAATCTTGGTAGTGGTAACCTAGTTACCTAGCTATCCAATACATGTTTGATGTTTCTAGATTGTCTAAAAAAAAAATTACACTACAAATTTAATTTGTGATAGCATGTTAGTTATTATTTTTATCAAGTTACTTGTTGTAAAGATATCCGTAATTATATTATATTGACACAATTTTTATAGTATAAACATTTTCTATACCATCAATACAAAGTAGTACTACAATTTTACGTGCTTGATTATTATTGTTTCTTTTTATATTTTATGTCATGGATTGGAGCACAAGTAGATGGTCACTTGTAAGTGTTTGGTGAATTTATTCTCGAGTAATGCAGCCAGCCATAACAGTATATTAGTAATGAGACAAAGAAAGAGGCAGTGGACTTCTATTTGAATTACTTAATGTTTGTTCGAGCGCTCACTAACATAGTTAGTTAAACTTGTATGGGTGTAATGGTGTTAGATTCATTAGGTAAACTTATAAAAAACTAGAGCAATTTATGCAAAATACCTATTGAGCTTAAAATAATTATTCTTTTCTACCAATTTAAAAATTATTTGTAATGTATACCTACTCAATTAAAACTAATTACCCCTACCTACCTACCCATTATCCATTTGGTTTAACTTTGCTTGATTTGGCATGGCTTGATTTGGCTTGACTTCGCTTAAATTGACTTCGCTTGGTTTGGCTTAAATTGGCTTTGTTTGACTTGGTTTAATAGCTTAGTTTCACTTCATTTGGTTGGCTTTCATTGGGTATTAAAAAAAAAATGGGTTGGGGGCAAACCACATGGGCATGGGCGGGTAAATAGTTTCCCCCGCCTAGGTATTTGCCAAAGATCCCCTATAAACTAGTGTACTCACTATCATGGGTGTAATGAGATCTTTACATAAATAGTCAAGCCAGCCGGTTCATTGTTTACTTTTCTTAGTTTATATACATAAATTATACATTTTTTCTATAAATATTATGTATGAATTATATATATATATACATATTTGTCCACTATTTTAAATTTAAGTCGGTGACGAACGGCTATTGGGTTAATTATTATTATATTATTATTATTGGCGGATGGATGTTCTATATATGCTATGCATCCGTAAAAAAGAGAATAAAAAATGTAATTTGAAACATATAATCTCATTTCAAGTATCGCCTAGAGTCTGGTTTCTCAANAGTTCACATTAGACAAAATAGTCATTTAATTATTTTTCGAATATTTAAAACTTTAAAATCAACTACAAATCCTAATTGTTACATCTTTCCTTATAAAAGTAGTTTTCTTGTTTGAAATTTGCACAATATAAAATTTTAGAAATTTTAGCTTAAAACATCCGTTCCTTGTTTGAAGTTTGAACCATGTGAGGCTTTGGGGTCTAAAGTAAGAGTTGCAATTTCACATGAAATTGGCTACGGTTACTATAAATTTACATGTTTCCATATTGATTATCAATAATAAAAGGAATTTGGAGAAAAGAAAATTATTTGCTCTTTCCTCAAATAGAGATGAAAAAAGAAATTAATTTTTTACAACATAACAATGTTTATCAATGTGGAAAATACTATTTTATTCTGACAAATAAATAGGTCCGTACTAGATAAGTTTGTAATATTTAATACTTTAAATAATATTCAAGAATTTATATTCGATAAAATTATAATTTAATTATTTTCTTAATACTTAGCACTTTAAAATCAACGAAAATTATACTTTAAGAAAATTTAAATTTCCTTATACCTTTTCTTATCTACCTATATCTATCCATCTATCTATACTATAATGAAAGCACGAAATCTTTTACCAAAATATTTTATTAATTACTTTTTAAATATTTAAGATTTTTAAAATCAACTAATAAATTGTTCCTTGTTTAAACTAGAATCATTTCTTCGGACAGAAGAAGATTATGTAAACACTTACTCGAGATCTCACTTATCAGA